AATTTATACAAAAAGTGATATTTGAAAAGGTGCCTAAAAATCCTGAAAAATTCTGGGACAGGATTCTAATAAGCTTATTCGAAAAACATTAATTGTTAACCAAAATTTTGGAAAAATTAGGCATGAAAATTTCATTTCTTAAACTTCTTGAAAAACGGTCAAAAAATTCATGCGGAGGAGTGTATGAAACTTTTAAGAAGTTGCCTAAAAATCCGCAAAAATCTAAACGAGCTTATTCAAAGAACATAGTTTCAATGGTTCCGGACCAAGATTTTTGAAAATTTCGATTTAGAAATGGCATTTTTAAATATCTCGAAAGCTCGAAAAAAAAATTTAAAAAAAATAAAATTGAAAAAAATACACATTGAAAATAAAAAATTAATACACGCATACTAAAAAATTTAAATTTTTGGAAAGTTTTCACAAAACCTCTAAAGAAAGTGTCCAATCTTCCCGGATCAAGATTTTCGAAAAATTTCATTTGGAAATCGATTTTTTGAATCTCGAAATGCCAAAAAAGTGGTCCAAATATTCATACAGGCATGAATTGAAATTTTTGAAAAATTACCCAAAAATCCTCAAAATTTCGACCAGCTGATTCGAAAAATATAAATTATCAATGGTCCCTGACGAAAATTTTCGAAAAAATCGATCTGGAAAAAACGCAGTTTTTAAATACATATCTCGAAATCCCGGAAAACGGACAAAAAATTTATACAAAAACTGAAATATGTATTTAAAAATTTGCCTAAAATTTCTGAAAAATTCTGGGACATAGGAATGTGATAATAAGTTGATTCGAAAAACATTAATTGTTAAGAGTTCCCGAACCAAGATTTTTGAAAAATTCCATTTAGAAATGGAATTTTTTAAATCTTGAAATCCCATAAAACGGTCAAAAAATTCATTCGATTTGGAAAAGAAATTTTTAAATATCTTGAAACCTCGAAAAAGGGTAAAAAAATAATTCGGGGTATGGAAAATTTGAGATTTTTTTAAAATTGCCTGAAAATCCTCAAATTATTCTGGGAGCTTATTCGGAAAACGAAGTGTCAATGTTCCCGAACCAAGATTTTTGAAAAAATCCATTTAGAAATGGATTTTTTTTAAATCTCGAAATCTCAAAAAACGGTCAAAAATTCTACTGAAAAACGAACATTTTTGAATCGTTGTTTAAAGTCATTCAAAAAATTCTGGGATGTAGATGTCGACGAGCAGAATCGAAATCCAAAGTGTTAACGTTCTGAGAACAAGATTTTGGAAAAATTCGATTTGGAAATTTAATTTTTAAATATCTTGAAATCTCGAAAAACGGTCCAAAAAATTAATCCAAACGGTATTGAAAAATTGAGATTTTTGAAAAGTTACCTAAAAATCCTCAATGACACGAAAAACACTAATTGTTAATAAAACCAATAAAATTTTTACATGTCGAAATTCCGCACCAAGAATTTTTAAAAAATTCGATTTTAATTATCTCGGATGAGCTGATTCGAAAAATATAAATTATCAATGATCCCAGACAAAGATTTTCCAAAAAAATCTATATGGGACCGCAATTTTATTTAATATGTCAAAATCTCGAAAAACGGTGCAAAAAATTCATACATATTAAAAAACTGAGATTTTTGAAAAGTTGCCTAAAAATCCTAAAAGATGATTCGAAAAACACTAATTGTTAATCGACTCCAAAAAAAAATTTGGAAAAATTCGCTAGGTATGAACATCTTATTTCTTATACAACTGGAAATCCGGAAAAACCGTAAAAAATGCATACGCACCATACGCGGGGGAACACTAATAACATTTGAAATTTTAAGATGAACAAAAATTCATTCGATTTGGAAATAAAATTTTTACATATCTCGAAATTCCGCGACCAAGATTTTTTGAAGAATTCGATTTGAAAATGAGATTTTTTAAATATCTCGAAAACTCGATGAAAAATAAAAAGAAAATCTTACAACCGAGTATTAAAAATTGAGATTTTTCAAAAATTGACTAAAAACCCTCAAAATATCTCGACGAGCTGATTCGAAAAACAAATTGTAAATGATCTCAGACAAAGATTTCTAAGATGTCAAAATCTCGAAAAACGGTTAAAAATTCATGCTGAAAACTTGAAATTTTTGAAGAGTTGCCTAAAAATCCTCGAAGTATTCTGGGATCTATCGATGAATTATACTGAAAAATTGAGATTTTTGGACAGGCTGAATCGAAAAACATTTAATTTTTAAATATGTACAAAAGTACAAAAATATTATTTTGAAAAATGTATTGGAAATATTGAAACTTTTGAAAAGTTGTCTCAAAAATCCTCAAACAAAGTGTCAATGTTCCCGGACCAAAATTCTCGAAAAATTCGATTTGATGGGTTTTTATCATGAAACCTCGAAAAACGGTCCAGAAAATTCATACGGAGGGTATTGAAAAATTGTCATATTTGAAAAGCTGCCTACAAATCGTCCAAAATGATTCGAAAAACACAACTTGTTAATAGAGCCCAAACAAGACTTTGAAAAAATTCGGTATAAAAATTTTATTTCTTAAACAAAAATAGGGGGGGAAATACTGACAAATTGAAATTTTTGAAAAGTTGTCTAAAAATCTTCAAAAATCTCAACGATCTGATTCAAAACCCGTAGTGTCAATGGTTTCGTACCAAGATTTTTGAAAAATTCGATTTGAAAATGAGATTTTTTAAATATCTCGAAAGTGGATAAAAAGTAAAAAGAAAATCATACAGGCGAATATTAAAAATTGATATTTTGAAGAACTGACTAAAAATCCTTAACAATCTCGACAAGCTGGTTCGGAAAATATGTCAAATTTTCCAAAAAAAAATCTGTTTGGAATCATTTTTTTTTAATATGTCGAAATCTCGAAAAACGGTAAAAAAATTCATACTCAACAATTAAAATTTTTGAGAAGTTGGCCAAAAACCCTCAAATTATTCTGGAATCTAAATCTCGACGAGCCGATTAGAAAACGAAGTGCCAATGTTCCCGGAGCAAGATTTTCGAAAAATTCCTTGTAGAAATGGAATATGTATTTCTCGAAAGCTCAAAAAACGGTCAAAACTTATACCACACATTGAAAAACTGAGATTTTTGAAAAGTTTATTAAAATTACTCAAAAAATTCTGGGATGTAAATCTCGACGTGCTGAATGGAAATGTATAGCGTTAACCTTCTCTGAACAAGATTTTCGAACCATTCTATTTGAAAATGTAATTTTTACATATGTATCTTGAAATTTCCAAAGACTGTCAAAAAAAAAAATCATACACTGAAGAATTGAGATTGTAAAAAATTGCTTAAAAATTCATAAAAAATTCTGGGAACTAAATTTCGACGAGCTGATTCGAAAAACATAAAGTGTTAATTATCTCAGTCAGATTTTCCGAAAATTCGGTTAAGATGAATTTTAACTTCCCCAGCATAAGCCAAGGAAGTGTTGTAATTGAGTCCGTCGGCACATTCTCTACTTTTACGTTTTCTCTACATAACCCCTAAAGTACGAAGAAATGGGTTTACCGTTTCTGTCTGTCCGTCTGTCTACTGTCCCGGATGTTTATTAGACATAATAAAATAATAATAATCTCCGAAAGTACTAGGCCAATTGTAGTCAAATTTTGTATTTAAATATATTGGAAATATCGTGTGGATGCTAACCAAAATTTGTCTAATCATTCCCACTAATAATGTGATGACCTCACGTCACCAAGATTTTTGAAAAATTCGATTTACAAATGGTGTTTTTTAAATACCTCGAAAACTCGAAAAAAAGTAAAAAAAATGATATTGAAAAATGTATTGCAAAATTGAAATTTTTGAAAAGTTGTCTAAAAATCCTCTAAACAAAGTGTCAATGTTCCCTGACCAAGATTTTCGAAGAACTCGATTTGGAAAATGGATTTTTATCTTAAAATATCGTCACTATATGACACTCTCTTTCACTACAGCTTAATAAAAAACATCGAGCCTCGTAGAAAATCGGTTTCCAGATAGATTACCAAAAAATATCTTTTAATTTTGTAACCGTTCAAATAGCATTAAAAAATCAAATCGCATGTTTATATATCACAAACGAAACAATTTTGATCTACACGATATTCATAATTCACATACAAAATTTGACAACAATCGGTCCAGTAGTTATCGAGATTATCTGTCCAACAAAAATCCGGACAGACGACAGATAGACAGGCAGATAGACGGAAACAGAATACCTGTTTTTTCGTATTTTACAGGTCACGAAACGTTGAAAAAAGAAAACGATCAAACAAGAAAACACGGGAAAACCAGCTGGAAGCCAAAGGACGCAAAGAAAGATGACAAAATCAAATACAAAAAAAAAATAGGAAATTTGCGAAGGAAGAAGAACCACAAAAATCTATCAAATTGATATACGAACTTATAAAATATAGTAACAAAGGATAACACGGTGTGCTCGTTTGTCATTTATTATTACTTTTTCGTAACAACAAATTAGAGTACCACAAATCACTATTTTTAAAAGTACTGATAGCGAAATATTTTAAAACGACGTAAAACTGTAACTTATATTTTAAATATTTACATGTTGATATCTTTGAGCATTCTACAATACATTTTTTACAAATATAAGTATTTTCCTCTTTTCTCAAAAAATACAAAGACCGGCTTTCACACAGGCTTGAATCAAGATGAAAACCGTTTAGTACCGACGGTTTCTTGTGTCCTGCGAAAATAATTAACATGTTAATACGCAGATGCGCGCGCAGCTAAGTGGAATGAGTAACCACATGAGGAAAGCTTTTCTACGGTTTGGAAAAATTTAAACATGTACATAATGATTCATTATACATATGTGCTAACGAAAATATGGTGTGTGACTTGTCACATACAAGATGTCTCACTGATTTTCTTTTCTTATAAAGAACGAAACACATTTTATTTTTGAAAACAATTTTAAATTTAAAAAGACCAACAGAAATCAATATTTAACAAAATAAATACCTGTTCTACTGAAGGGTAAGGCCTTTTACTAGTGGGGGTCGCCCCAGTTATTGTATTGCGTCGTTGTAAAATAGGCCTTGGTTTCAAGGGGTACATCCTTCCACTCCCATCCAAAGGACTATCTGGGGGTTCACTATCATCACTACTACTCAGTTCAGTCTCTACATCAGGAGGTTCAATCACTGCTGGCAACCTAGAGACAAAAAAATAATTCCACTACACTAAAAATCTATCAAAAAATTACTTTGGAATAGAAATAGGAGACAAATTATGAATAGGAAGTAGCCTAGGAGACTGTATGCTCTCACTCCAGCGAAAATAGGGCTGACCATCCAACTTCTTACTTGGCAAACGATACGGCTTCATGTAAATTTGTCCATAAACTTTAGTATGACGAGGCCGTTTTTTAAGAGTTAGTACAATCTCAGGTGGCGAGTCTTGAAGTAAAATCATAACGTTTTTTCTTTGCCAACCCACAACAGTTTGATAATTCACCTAAAACACCACATTTAACTCCCCAAATAAAAATTATATAAATCATCACTACTTGAACAATCTCATCTCCTTCCTCAATTTTTGTACTCCCATGAGCTGGAGACCCATACTTAATTTCCGCTATCTGATGCACTGGATGATTATTCGGAGAAATAAAAAATCCCAACTCCTGCTCTTTTTTCTTCAAAGTTGCAAGATCAAGAGACGCCGGTTGCAAAATCATCGGGTCTGTAATTTCCTGGATAATGTGATCAGCCAATTTTGTAATTTTTTCGCAAATCTTCCGAATGCTAGTAACGGGTTTTTCTGAAAATTTTCCTCTGTGTGCTCTAGTGGCCATTTCAAAACTCAAATCCAACATCTGCATTTTGCAATCAATGTAGTCTTTGTCGCCGAGAAACGGGGCACGATCTAACCAACAAACAAGGGGTTTAATGGTGGTTATAATGTTGTGAACGTCCGACATCATCTGAGGTGACACTATTGGGCAATCATCATCCACCAGCAACAATTCTTTAAACAACGAGTTAGATGCGCAAGAGACTTTTAAAGCTAACATTTGTAAGTTTTCTTTATCCAGTTCAAAGTGCTACAAATACCAACATTACGAAACTTTTATACAAGACGGAAACATACAAAGTGTCGCAAATGCTCCACCGATTCTAAAATTATTTCCTGATGACCTAAGGTTTTTACTCCTAAGTTATCCAAGTCGTCGGCTCTTAAGTTAAGCAAATGATGTCCTGTTACCCCATTGTTCAAAAATGAGGTCGTGTATTGAGAAATAATACCATCTAGGCCTAAAAATACGAACCGAAATGAGGTTAAATAATCCTTGAAATATCCGGAACGAATTACCTTTGAGCCAGTCCACTACTTGGTCGACTGACCAATCTCTAACATTCACGTAAGCCATTTTTGGGGCCTAGTGATGTTATTTTTCACTTTTGTAACAAACTAACTGCTGTGCAACATTACTTTTGAACTTGTTTTTGTGTGTTGACTAAACATGAATGAACTTGTCATTTACTTGTCAAGTGAGTAGCAAACTTGTATGAATGAAATACTGTGCTTCCATCTATACGGAAGAATGTTATGTAACTGCAGCGTTTTCTTTTATTTGATTTTTTTTTGTTTTTGATTTATTGAAATAGTTTTGTTAGGTATTTATAGACGTGAGAAGTTTTATATGATAATAAATAATCAACTTTATGGAGTAACTTTTAATTAATATTTTTTTTGCGGTAGGCAAACAACAATACACTATAATATGGTTGGTTGCTAGGCTATCATGCGACCGAAAATTAAACAAATTAGAATTGATTTTACTGCATGCTGTACGGGTGGTACTTCTGCACATTTGACACATCACATCAATACATCATGGACGAATGAATATGTTCCTTTTTAAAATTTACATCAATTCCTGTTATATTTCCTAGCTTAAACATTAATCTTTGGCATGTTTATGACTTAATAAATTTTCATGGTTTGCAATTCTTTGCTGAGCATGTTTCCAATCCCGGACAATCTAAAAAATTTAAGATCGACAAAATTCTGTAGGAACAATTGAAAGTTGAAAAATCGAAAAATAGAAAAAACTAGTAACTGAAAAATAAAAAAACTGCATAATTACAAAATGGAAAATTGGATAATTCTAAATTCCAAAAATTATTATTAAACTGTAAAATTGAGAAATTTTAAAATCGAAAAATTGAAAAAAAAAGTTAAATAGAAAAATTAGAAAATGGAAAAATTGCAAATCTATAAAACTGAAAAATCAAAAACTTGAAAAATTGAAATTTTAAAAAATTAAAAATCAAAAAATTCGAAAATCCCAGCATTGAAATTCGAATAATTAAAAAAACGAACAAGTATAAAAACGAAAAATTATAAAACTGAAAAATTGGTTCATTACAAATCGGACAAATGAGAAATCGCAAATTGCAAAACTATGAAACTAAAAAAAAAATGAAAAATTATAAAACTAATATACTAACTAATATAATTATAATTGTAAAATCGAAAAATTATTAAACTGTAGGTAAAGCTAAAAAATTGCACACATAATTAAATACAAAATTGAATATGGAATAATTTTTAAATCGAAAAATTGAAAAATCAGATAATTGTAAATATAGACCAGTGGTTCGCAAACTGGGTGCCGCGGCACACTAGGGTGCCGCGGATCCCCCAAGAGGGTGCCGCGAAAATTTTATAATGATTTTAATAAATATAAGCACAGAACCAACTTTAAAAAATAATAATTGATGATCTGATTTTATTAATATGGTACAACTAACTGTTCAGTAATGGAAAATGTGTTCTGAACATGTTAATTTTCTTCATACTGAAGTAAGATGGCTATCTAAAGGCCGTGTTCTTTCCCGATTTTGGGAATCAAGAAAACAGATATAAACGTTTTTTGAATCAGAAAATACTGAACAATTTTTTGACCTATTAAACTAATATTTTTGAACACTTAAATAAAATATGTACATTCAAGTATGCAAGGTAGAAAAGAAAATATTTTAACCTCCAGTGAAAAAATTTTGGCATTAAAAGACAAGCTTAAATTATGGAAAACAAATATTTATAAAGCAATCTTAACATCAATTACATATTATACAAACATGTGATAAAGTGTTTTTGATAATAAATTAGTTACAATTAAAACTGTTCTTGGCGGGGTGCCGCCAAATTTTGTTTAAAATTTTAGGGTGTCATCAATCATAAAAGTTTGCGAACCACTGATATAGACAAATTAAAAAATTTTAAAATTGAAAATTTCAAAAATTATAAAATGAAAAAAATCAAAAATTTTGCTAAATTATGAAACTCAAAAACCTATAATTCTAAAACTGAAAACTTGGTAAATCAGACAACTGTCAAATAGAAAAAAATGGATACAAACACTAGAGAGAGGGAGTGAGAGAGAGTGAGAGGGGGGGGGGGGGGGAAGAGAGTGGGAGAGAGAGAGAGTCGAAAATGGTAGACTAGTTTTTTCTTACTGTAGGAGTCATGAAAGGTGGAGAAAACATAAAAGTGGTCATTCGTCCGATGGGCTCGATGAAGAATCAAAAAGTTGGAAATTGGAAATCGAAAGTTTGAAAAATTAAAAATCAAAAATTGAGAAATTAATAAATGAAAACCGAATAATTCATATCAAAAAATGTAACATTCAAAAATAAAAAAAAAAAATCGAAAATCTGAAAAATCGGTTACCTATAAAAAGGAAAAATTGTAAAATAATTACATTGGACAATTAAAAACTTGAATAATTAAAATTGAAATTTTGTACAATCAAAAATAAAAAAGTTGAGAAATTGTAAAATTGCAAAATTAAAAAATGGATAATTGTAAACTCGAAAACTTAGTAAGCTGTAAAGTGCAAAATTGCAAAATTATTAAAATGAAAAATCGAACGACTGAAAACTGAAAAATCGAAAAACCGATTCATTAGAAACTGCGTAATTGAAAACTCCAAGCATGTATTGTAAAAATAAAAAAAAATGGTGAATTATTAAACTGAAAAATCGTATAATTCTAAAATTCAAAAATCTCGAAAAATTAAACAACTGTAAAATAGAAAAAAATTAAATTGGAAAATTGAAAAATTGCAAAAAATTACGAAATTGAAGTACCAAAAACTTGCAAAATTAGAAACCAAAATTTTAAAATATATATGTATGTATAAAAAATAAAAAAATTAGGAACTCTAAACAATCAAATTCGCATCATTGAAAAATGAAAAATTGGAAAATCGGATAGCTTTAAAAACGTAAAATTGTAAAATAATTAAACTGAAAAACTAAAAACTTGAACAATTGTAAGTAAAATTTTGAAAAATTAAAATTCAAAAAATTGAAAATGTGCAAAATTACAAAATTGAGAAACTAGTATAATGTAATGTAGACAGAACTTGAAAAATCAGGTAACTGTAAAATAGAAAAAAATTAAATTGGAAAATTGGAAAATTCCAAAATTACGAAATTCAAAAATCAAAAACTTGAATAATTAGAAATTGAAATTTTGAAATACACGTATGTATGTTAGAAATCAAAAAATTAGAAAATCGAAACAATCAAATTCGGATAAATGAAAAATGTAAAAATGAAAAATAGGATAGCTTTAAAAACGAAAAATTGTAAAATAATTAAACTGAAAAACCAAAAACTTGAAAAATTGTAAGTGAAATAGTGAAAAATTAAACTTCAAAAAATTGATAATGTGCGAAATTACAAAATTGAAAAATTGGTCTAAAGTTATGTAGACAGAACTTTCCTCGCCCGGAGTACAATGCAGAAATCCAGCTTTTTCGAAGAATTATAATATGTATTTAATTTAGCAAATTTTGTTTTTTATAAGCCCAGTAAGTTAAAATAAAGTTCTAGAAACTAAGGTTGAGAATTATTTACAATTTATTAATGAAAAATACATAAATAAAATTCCAGGCACTAAAAATGTCTATATGAATCGTACAATAAATTTACAGTCGGAAATAATTACATGTGTACGTTATTGTATACTAGGTATATATATATGACCGAAAAAAAGTTGTAAAGCATGCTTTGGATTTTTTTTGTTGCCAGAGCTGACGAGTCCTATCAGTCTTGTATGAGAGATGTCGCGTGTATATTCTTACGAAGTAAACCCATACGCCGCCCCAATACGACGCCTATGGGTTTTGTAGTATGTACGGCGATGATGAGTGACTCATTGTCGGTGACGGCGGCCGAGCGGCGTTCGCTGAGGAAAAGCCTGGAAACGGAAGTTACGATGGGTATTCCAGAAAGACCTCGATCATGGAACCTCTAGCAGGAAGTATGGGTTTAAATACAGGCCACTTTCGGGAACGAAATTATTCAGCCGACGAGTCGAGTTCAGTGAATGTTGAGCATCCAGTCAAGCGGCGGCGGAAGTATTTTGTACATAATCGCTGTGTAATTAGTCGTGTAAATTTGAGTTACTAAGAAATAAATTGTTGAGTTTTACCCACGCCGATTTTTTAATCACCGATCAACATAACAATATTTTGAGTATATGTAAATTAATGTCAATGATTTCGATAACTCACGTGGAAGACCAAAAAACCAATACATTTTTTATTGCAAATCACAAGTATTTTATAGCAAATGTGCAAAATAATCTTCAGCTTCAGTAACTTTTTCACCTGTATGAAAACGATTTTTATACACTATTTTTGAGGTGCGGAAAAATAAATTAGTCAAGTCAGGAGACCGTGCAGGGAAATCAATCAGTCGATTATCATAGAATTCATGCAATAATCTCATCGTTTCTTGCGATTTATATGCCGTTGCAATGTCCTGGTGGAAATAGCCAAACCCGTCGACATTTATTTGTCCCGTTGAAAAATGTAGGTCCAACAATTTACCTTTTTAAAACTGCAATCCAGACACGAATTTTTTGGGGATGTAAAGAACGTTCGATACATTCCTGAGAATTTTTATTTGACCAAATGCTTATTTATTTATTAAAATAGTGAGAAAGATAGAACCAGGCTTCGTCTGAAAAAATTACTTGTTCATAGTGTGATCGTAAAAGTGAGTTTCAGCTTAAAAGAACCAAACACATTTCAAACTCGTACACCATTGTCCTATCAATATGAACATCTACCGACCAGCTACTTTTATGTATTTTCGACGTTTCATGACCCCTAGAGTATGAAAAAATTAGTCCCCCATTTTCGTCTATCTGCTGTTTGCCGTTTATGTCGGTTTTTATTACGTAGATAATCTCCGAAACTGCTGGACTAATTAATTGTTGTCAAATTTTATATGCGTGTTAAGATTATCATACAGATGGTAAAAGGCTAATCAAAATTTGTCTCATTATTCCCACCAATAATGAGATGACGTCACATCAAAATCTTTAATAGTGTGATTTGTGAAATGCCCTGAATTTTTTTATCACAGACATCCAGAATTTTGGAAAAAAAACATATTACAATTTAACTTTGAAAATACAAGACCGAATGTTTTAAGGTTATCGTAAACATGGTAAATCATTAATGAAAATTTAAGAGGTATAAAATCATTTTAAATTTTTAGGTAGTAAAAGACGGTAGTATAACTACCATATGGGCCTGCTCGGTAGTATTTCATTTTTAACTACAAAATCAATCAATTTTAGAATTATTAAAATGAATTATATTTAAATGAATTCTTAACAAAAAAATGTTAGATTTTAATAAAAATTATTAGACACATCCAATTTTTGAGACGTATTATTCTAATAACGAAAAGAAAATCTGTTTGATTCAGAACAATTTTTAGACCCAAAATCAATGGTTTATGATTAGCATACTATTATATTAATTGCATATGTGAAGTGGTGGTGAGTGCATGCGTTTCGTTGTGTTCCGTGAGGTTCTAGTCCTAAAATTGGAAGATTATTGAAACTTGGTTGTTGAGTTACATATTATAAACCAACAGTGACTTTGAAGAAGGGTAATGTAAAATTATCTTGAACATTTTTAATAACGTGGTTAAAGTTTACTGACAACGAGTCTGTTATCAATAAACATTTAAAAAAATATTTATACGGTTATTTCTTTGTCTGTTATACATCGTTCCTGTCATTATAATTCAGTTACTTGCACATAATATCCTGTGTAAATGTAAATTCTCCAGGAAGGACAAGCTTGTGTATTGAGTCTTTAAATACTGAGGTTTTATCACTGCGTAATAGGTTTGATGAACATGTGGAAAATCAGTCTTCGGCATTAAACTCTCATATGACAGCGCCTAAAGATGACTTGCTAAGTTGCTTGAATGAAAAATTCCAACAATTAAGACAATCTCTCTTTGATGATTTGGTTGTAGAAAGTTTTTTTGGGTGCTTTGTTTGACAATAAACTAAGATTCTTACATCACATAAATTCTATTACGACTGCCATCAATTTTAATAATAATGAAAAAACTTTCAGAGTTTAAATAATATATTCGTAATCACTGCTACACGTGTTTCGGTACACAGTACCGTCTTCAGGCAGAAGATAAACTGGGGTTTTTACAGAGCTATTCCTGAATTTATACCTGATTTAACAATAGTGTTTACAAATTTATGTTAAGTAAGGGAGAATTGTTTATTTCGATTTGGCTGGAATTAGTGTATTAAATCTATTGTACCTATTTATTTCCAGACATTCTAACGCGTTTAATTTTGCGCTTTTATTTTCTATGTGTAAAATTTTGAATTCGTCGTTGAAATGATGCTGTTCTTGGATAAGGTGGTTCGCGTACGTAGAATTTGATTTTTTATTGACATATGCTGATTTATGTTCTTTTATCCTTTCCTCAAATTTTCTCCCTGTTTGTCCGATGTATACTAAGGGGCAGTCACTACAACTTAGCATGTAAACTCCAGAATTCGATTTCTTAGGTGACTTGTCTTTACTATTGTTTATTAATTTATGTAAAAATTGTTGGTACGGAAGGAAATTTTATAGCCTGCATTTTGCAGTATTTTTTTTATTATTTTCTTCCGTCAGTGCCATTCATTTTTTTCTTATATCATTATTAAGTACTTTTTCCTTTTCGAGTTTTAATTTTTACGACTTTAGTATTTGACCAATACCCTGGCCCCATAACCTGTTGAGCTTTCGGATTTTACTTTTATTTTTTACTCCAAAAAATTTGCGTATGCGCACAAAGCTGTCTAGTTTCAAATTTAGATTTATAATATGTATTGCATACAGTGAAATTCAAACGTCATGTTAGTTTGATTATCTAAAAATTCTAGATTACCCAAACGATAATCGACTCATTCCAGGGAATCAATATAACACACGAATCATTACCAAATTTAGTTTTACGATTTAAAAACTAGCAACATAAGAATTTCCAATATCTAACATTATGTCTTGTTTGACGAAACTGCACTCATTGAACATGGTAGTAGGTACATATTACATACTTATATAAAAGCCAGCAGTTTATTTAATAAAATTTTCATCGTTCCGATACCTTCGACTCATTTAACCATGATAACATTCTTTGAATTTTTTCCTTCCAATTATTACTATTATTAACAGAATTTTAGCGATTACTGAAAGAACTGATATCGCGAGCGTTGTAAAGGTGAATGGAAATCGAGGACACAATTTACCACTACCTGTTGGTTCCACTAACATTTCACAGCTAGTGCGGTTCTGCAGGTTCAGTGTGAGTGTGGAAGTGTTGTCTTCAATATGGCACTCACAAATGAAAAAGTGCAGTCATATGGTACGGAGGTAGCAGTAGACGAAAGGTAGGAAGAAGCTAAAAGAACAGTTGGAAACAAAGAGTTGCGATAATTTTAAAAGAATCACATTTTCTGTCATCGTAACGAAAGAGAAAGTGATGCTAAAAATGTTACTAGGAAAAGAATGTTAACTATTTTATGAGGTGCCAGATATGGGTGCAACTTATCGTTTTTACCTTGTGATTTGTTTAAAAGGAAATTAAAATTGATTAACAATTTTGTTGTTTACATTGTTATCAAATTTGAGGCAATTTTATTAATGGACCCGGAGTTCTGAGATCTGTCACGAACACAGGATATGAGGTATTGTTATCAAATTAGGTATACGTAAATTGTTTTTAAAATAAATATAATAATTAAATTGTTATCGCTGTTTTTTTTAATTAAAATAATTGATTGATTAAACACACAGAATTTACGCAACCAGCTGTTTTTATTTATTTTGCGATAAAAGATCGGCATCCTGATGCCTACACGTTGACAGATAAGTAGGAAATGTAGATTAGGGCATATTATATATGTTAATAGTAAATATTTGCTAACAATAATTGCCCTTATGGCCCCCACTGAAATATCTGGAGTGCCTATTGGTTAGATTTCATCTTTAGCCGATAAGTTTGTTTTTTATTTCTATGAATGTTTTTAATTCATTAAAGTTGACAAACAGCTGAATTTAAATATTTCTTGAGATAAACAATGACAAATCAAAATTATAAATATTTTAAACTATTCACTATTCACAACTTAATGTAGTATATTTTCGAATAATATAGAAATAAAAGACTGTTAAACAACCAATACTGGTTAAATTGCCTACGTTATTACGTTGTCAGTAACTTTTCCAATAAAGACGCTATTTTTATTGGGCGTTGTAAAAAATATGCTATTGTAACACAATAGGTAATAAATAGAAATTAAAAAACACGCAACATTTTGGAAATAAATTTGAAAAATTTAACTCAAATGATAAATTTTGCAGAAAAAGTTACATGTACAGATAAAAGAAAAAAATATATTTGCGTTTTAGTTGATAATCAGTAGGCGTGCATATTAATTAATTAGTCATAAACTCTGCTATAAACAAGAACGAGTTGACATTATTGAATGGCTTTAATATAGCCTAAATTTATTTAAAATAATTGAAAGTGCACTTAGCAACAAATTGTTAGAAAATCGTGAAAGTAAAGGTTTTTCAGTGAAAATGAACGTGACTGGATAAAAATTCAGTATAATTCTATAATTTGTTTGGGTTGAATTAATTCTCAATACAAACCCAAAAAAAACGGACTGTAGTTGACGATTTTCTCTTTGCAAATATTAATATAGTTAAATCAGTGAGATCAGTAAGGCTAATATTCCATTACAAATAAAAATCTTTTTCATTTTTTTTTTTTTTAAATTAACTTTAAGATATCTTTAAAGATATCCGGAAGAAATTCCTCACCTACGTTATGCGAAGACAACGGGTCGTTATGACACTCCTATAGTTACTAATGGCAAACACCTGGTTGTGTATAAACTTCACATTTGCCGTTAAAAGTCCTTTTACTCCCCTTGTAGCGTAAATAGCTACGATATTACCGATTTAAAACACTAAAGTATTTTTACAATGAATTATCTTTCGAAATGTTTTTTAGCCACTTTGTTACATTCTTTTTGAATTTATGTTTCGTTGTTGTTTTCTAGATTTTTTTCTGTTGTACAAAAATATCAAAATTTGTAAAAAGACATACTGCCACAAAATGTGTAATATGAGATGTCTTCTTTATTGAAAAGGCGTTTAGAGCTTTCAGTGATATTATTGTTTAAAATTCTCAGAGGAACCCAAGATTGTCCGACTATCTTGCAAAATATCTCTCTGAAGGTCAACAAAACTAACGTGCGCAAAAAACACCTTTTATTTGCTCACCAGACGAACGGTAGGTGCAGCTAATTCTCCTCTTGTGAAGATGCTTTCAAACTATATGGATATAGAAAATCATCTAGATATTTTATTTGTACTCTTAATCATGTCAACGGATGTTATAAATTATGACATAACACATGTAAATTCCAAATTTAATGTTTCAAATTCTCTTACTGCCCATTCACAATGGACATAAGGCATAACAAGTACATAAAGCTTACATAAATACATAAAGTTGAAACAATGGAAAACGTATACCCCTGTTCACAGTGGACGAACGTAATTCTTATGCTTATGAACGTTTTATGTAATCCTTGTGTGCGTACACAAAGTTGAAATAAGTTCAACTTTGTGCACGAATTATGTCAAAATTATGTTAAAACCTAGGGACTTTTGAATGCTGCTATTGAATTCCCTTTGACAGTTGGCACTTGGCACTTCACACCTTTGATTATATTATATAAATTATAATCAAAGCTTCACACTGCGAGTCTGTTTAGTACTGCGAGTTGTCAACTTCGAATTTCTTATGAAATTGTAGGTTAGATATTTTGATTGACTCAGTTTGAAGTTAGCCGTTTCTATGTTTAGCCGGGAGTTATTCCGTTCTGCGCTTGCGCCGTTTAACAACTTTTACAGAGTTCACTCTGTCCACTGTGAACGTAGATAAGCATAAGCTAGACACAAACCAAAAACGTAAATTATGTTATGCGCTCGTTCTTATGTCTTATGTCCATTGTGAATGGGCAGTTACAACTGCGTATTGTGTTCTGTAATTGGATCTTTTTTACCCGTTGGACACTGTTCTTAACAATAATAAAAAAAAATAATAATAAAAAATTTCTTTTCAATGTAGGCATTTCAGAAAATTATGTAAAAACCAATTCTCTATTTACTCTATAATTTTTATAAGAAATCATACATAAGTAGTTCTAGTTTTCCAAAATTCCCACTTATTTTTCCGACACTTCTCACAAAAGATGGAAACTTATACTAAATATTTAATGCTGTAATGATTAATTAGTATAATAGCATTATCAGAATCATAATTTTTTCGTAAATCTAAGTAATTTTTTTAATGTGAAAAAATTTAAACACTTTGTTGATAATTTTTCAGTTTAAATTGAATTGTAGTATTAAGGATAAAACGCCTGAATTTTTTAATCTATTATTTTATTTATCTTTTTTAATTGACTTTAGAATCACAGTTTATTTTTGTATTTTCACATAAAAATCACTACACCTATAGGGTTATTTTTAAATATCTGTGACAATATTTTGTTGTAGTGTAAAGGAAATGGAATCTCAATATACAGAGTGTTTATAAAAACATTATTATTTTTATTTTATATTTTTTTTTTGTTTTTAATAGAACAGGCTCTTTTTTTTATTGGCGCATCTTGTTCTGTTTTTTCTTTGGTAAATATTATCTATATTTTAAGTTGATAGTTATTCCAATGTTTTTCTTTTTTGAGAGACACATCAACATTGAAAGAAAAAGAACACAATCAGAGTACGATACAATAATAAAACACAAAATGTTTATTTGAAACAACTGATATAGAAATTTGACAATTGTACCTAACCGTTTAGAATTTTTGTCAGCACTCTGTATACTAAAATTTAACTACTATACCACAACAAAGTCGGTACCTCTGTTTATCTTTCCATAAAATATTGAAACCCAAATCTAAAACATAACATTATTATTGCGACTTTTTTGTTAACTCTTGCATTGCTAAAAAAATTGAGGAAACGTGGAATAACGTGTTTATGTAGGGTACTCTGTTTAAAAAATAGATATCGAAGACCCCTCACTCAGTGACTCACCCTGTATATGTTTTATTTTGTTATTTGTTTATTTGTTTTATTTAATTAATACTCCTATCTGTACATTTATTTAATAAATAATTAAACAGAAATTTAATTAAAAACAGTTGATTTTATGCACAATACACTAATATGAAATGTATAAACTTACAAATTTCGTATTAGTTATACAATTATTATGTATTTAAATATACTAGAATTGATACGATTGTTTTTCTGTAATGGCAAAATAATTTTAACTATAGAAATAAATATGGCAATAAACCAATTTTCTGAAAAAGTTTGTAATGTATTTTATGTATTTTATGTTACTCTTCTGAAAAAACAATAATCTCTCCAAAAAAATTGAAATCCCATTAAAAAAAAACAAAAACTCAAAATCTTCATTGACTAGGAAAGTGTTCCAAATGGCCTTTGTTTATATCAGTAGTACTTTTTAAAATAATTTTCACAAAATCGTTGCAACGGAAATACTTCATAGGTATATCGAAAGTCATCCATATTTTCTAGAATATGAAAAAGTAGGTCTTCACTTCAATCTCTTCATTTCAAACACTAACTAAAAATTCATCTTCACCTAAAATGTGCTAAGTAGATCTCCTTGAAAACGTACAAAATATTACGTTACATTATTTGTGATTTATTAAATCAGTCTTATTTTTAACATTATGCTTATAGGTTCATTATTTTCTTTAAATCACCCTATATAAGTAATTCTAAAAGATATAAATCCACTGATAAAACCCAAGTATAGATTCATAATATCGGTATTGCACATTTTAGATCGGATTTATTCGACAAAATTTTAAGATGACAGCATCGATTTTTGGAGGCTAAGCCTACACATTTTTTTTTTTTAATAATTTAACATGCTTACTATAACCTTAAAACATTTGGAAGAGTTGGGAGCATTCGCCTTCAGTTTCAAAGTTAAATTGTAAAATGTTGTTAAACAATTTTAATTTTATTTCTTTCTCTAAAAATCTGGATGCCTAAGGCAAAAAGTCAATACGAATTTATAAACTATACGTAGGAGTATGTTAATTTATAAAATTTAAATAACATTTATGATGTATAATTTTGATATGACATGGTCACATTGTTAGTGGTGATAATAATTAGACAAAGTTTAGTTAGTGTTTTACCATCTGTACGATATTCCTAACCCTAACACACATATAAAATTTCACAACAATTGGTCAACAATTAATTTCGGAAATTTATCTGTCTGATAAAAATCGACACACAACGGATAGACAGACAGATAGACAGACAGACGGAAACGGGAGAATATTTTTTCGGACTATAAAAGGACTAGGGTTCTTAAAAAAAACATTCATCTGATGGACTCTATTACAAAACTTCCTTAGCTTTACACACGAAAAAGAATAAGATTCCCATAACCAAATTTTGTAAATTCGAATAAATAAATTAGGTACTTAACCATTTTTGAACATAGGTAATTATTATTAATATTTGCAGTTTTTGATGCCGTTTGTGATTTTCCAAATTTTTCTAATTACTCTATTATTTAGACAGAATTATAATGCAATTTTGACTTTTGAATTTAAAATGTTTAAAAAAAGTTATTAGGTTTTTTTTTTGGAAAATTTTCGCTATTTTTTAAACAGTACATAACAGTTGGTCATGTAGTAATCAGTAATGACATACTACATGGTCTACTAAATTCCAAAAAATATATAAATAATAATTGTGTTATTTATAATATTTTATCTTCTTTTTTTCGTAGACAAAGAGAAAAGTAAAGTTGTCTGTATGTCTGTCCGTCTGTCTGTCTGTCTGTCTGTCTGTCTGTCTGTCTGTCTGTCTGTCGTCTATTCTGGTTCTGCCTATTCTCTTAAGTCAATTTTTGTGAAATCATTTATCAACAACATATAAATTAGACAAGTGTGTCACGAAAGTTAAGCTTTATTATCCTCAATTCTGCTACCTAAAGACATTGTGTATGCATTTAAGTTCACCATTTCATGTAACACTTATCTTTTGATACAAAATATCAAGTTTAGATATTATAGAGATGAAAGGTTTAAATTTGTTTAACATAATTCGTAAACTAATATTAATGCCAACCGTCATCAAAACAGAAATGTATATTACTCTGATCTAACCTATTTGAAACTAAACTATGCTGACTAAAATGCGCAGACCATTAGTTTGCTTTTAATTTTTCCAATTACTGAATTTGTCTTTATTACTTTTTTCTGGACGCAGTTGATAATAGATATAAAATGATACATTCAAATTATAAAATTTTATTTACAGATAATTTAAAAATGTTGTAATTTTAGTAAACACTTTATAAACACACGTGCCTCTGAGAGTAATTATCTGTAATTATCTGGTGCTGACAATTTAGTTAAATAATAATTTCATTCAGTGTCTATTGTTTTTGATGACATTTTAATATGATCAATCACGTCTACATTCACATGTAAAATCACTCCGCAGTAGCTCATTAATCTTGGTTGTTATTCTAAAAAGAGCACTACACATTTTTAACAAAAGGTCATTATTTTTAATGAGGTTGTTTGGTCTAACTTTACACTGTTTTTGCACCTTGTTAACTAAGATAGTCATTGGATATGAATCCATATTGAAAATAACATATTTAATAAAGGAAACTGTTAATATATGTACCTGTGTGTGGAAACAAAGTGTGACACATAATAACGTCGTATTACTCCTTAGCAAATGAGTATTTAATACAACAACCAAACAAATAGTTAACTGGCAGCTGTTTCCGCTACATTATATTACTTCAGAAAACATACCAACATTACGCTTAATTAAAATAGTTTCGAAAAATTGCTGCGTAATTTACAAAATTTCCTTGATTATAGTTTCCAAATGTTTAATAATTAATAATTTATTGCTTGTTTTCAGCACTGAAGTCTACCCAAGATGGATGTTCTGGAAAAAACGAAGATACGTAGTGGCAACTTTAGCCTTCTTCGGCTTCTTCAACGTTTACGCCCTTCGGGTGAACCTCAGCATAGCCATTGTAGCCATGACAGAAAACAGAACCGTGACTTTAGACAATGGTACTGTTATTTACGTAAGTTGCACCCCAAGCCCCAAACTAACTGTACTTCAAAAAACTCTTCCAGGGACCAGAATTTGAATGGGACTCCACAATCCAAGGCTACATCCTTAGTTCCTTCTTCTACGGTTACATTACAACTCAGCTATTTGGGGGTTGGCTGAGTGCAAGAATCGGGGGCAAAAAAGTCTTTGGGGGAGGAATAGCCGTCACTGCAGCTTTAACACTGATAACACCATGGCTCGCCAAAACCAGCGTGTATCTCTTACTAGCAGTACGCATAATAGAAGGAATTTTCGAAGGGGTGACCTACCCCTGCATTCACGCAGTGTGGGCTAGATGGGCACCCCCTCTTGAACGAACGCGATTGGCCACTTTAGCATTCTCCGGAAGTTACGTTGGTACCGTTGTATCAATGCCGGTTTGTGCCTACCTAGCTAAAGCCTTAGGATGGCCCAGCATTTTCTACTTCTTTGGGGTTCTTGGACTGGTTTGGTGCGCTGTTTGGTGTATAGTGGTGGCGGAATCACCAGCTGAAGATCCGAAAATTTCCAAAGCGGAGCTTAACTACATAAAAGAGTCTTTGGGACACACTGACACCAATCAAAGAATTCGACACCCGTGGAAAGACATTCTTAAATCTATGCCTGTGTGGGCTATCGTTGTGTCCCATTTTAGCGAAAACTGGGGCTTCTATACTCTGTTGACCCAGCTTCCGAAGTTCATGAAGGAAATACTCAACTTCAATCTGGGTAAAACTGGGTTCATGTCGGCTTTGCCGTACTTAGCTATGTCTATTATAATTCAAATTTCTGGACATTTTGCTGATTGGTTGCAAGAAAAGGGGATTATGACGACGACGCAAGTCAGAAAAGTGTTCAACTGTGGGGCTTTCATTGCGCAGACTGTTTTTATGATGGCTGCAGCGTTTTGGTTATCACCTGTAGGTACCATTATTTGCTTGACTTTGGCTGTGGGGTTAGGTGGATTTGCATGGTCCGGATTTAGGTACTACCAAAAACAGAAAAGTAGTTGTTTTAATTAATTTTGAATGATTTTGTAGTGTTAATTATCTGGATGTAGCTCCTCAACACGCGAGTGTTTTAATGGGGCTGGGTAACACTGTAGGAACACTACCTGGAATTGTGAGTCCCATTATCACTGGATATATCGTCACGACTCCGGTAGGACTTGATTTTTTTTTTTTTTTTGGTTTTCTAATGACTGATTTATTTTAGACTGCCCAAGAATGGCAAATAATTTTTTATATAGCTAGTGGTGTCTACTTGTTTGGTTGCGTATTTTATGGGGTCTTTGCGTCTGGTGAAGTTCAGTCATGGGCTCGTGGTGATGTGAAAACGACAGAAACACCAATGAAGGAACGAGCAACGATGGGTCTTGATAATAAATCGTTTGAACCAGATCTGTAAATAATGGAATAAAAAATAGGTAATTAAAATGTGATAGCTGATGCACTTTTAGCTAGTAAAATACTCCAGTGTCGAAGAACGACGTTATTTTTTAATGTTCCAATAATTGTACATAAATATTTTACAACATCAAATAAAATGCTACAGGAAAACTCTATAGTGTATTTTACATATAGGTACTCACAAAAATTGGTTTGCTCAAAAAATGTGGATTCATGTAAGATTAAGTAGAAGACCAGCATGCATGTCCATGGAGATGGACTGTCTTTTTCCCCAAGAATGACCTCTCATATAATGATGGTACACAACAAAACCTCCTATTGGTAGTAGAAAATTACGTTTGTTCCATCTTGCGATTTCTCATATTTAATGTAGGTGGTCGTTGAGAAGTATTTGAAATTCTGCTACCTCTAAACTCTGAACCATATGAACTGAGGAGTGCTAATGGTAGCTGTTAAGCTTTCGAATTTTACTTTAAGTTCTATTTCTTCAAGACCATTGAAAAATATCTACTTTTTATTTTCTATTCGTCCTCGGTTTTTTTTCGTAGATGACTAGTTCTGTTTCAAGAAACTTTCGACCCTTTTAAAAATTGTATATCCAGGCACTCTTCTTTCAGGAAAACGTTGTGAATTAACACGGGCTGCCAAAAAGGCTTTCTTTTGGCATTCACCATAAATTAACGGCATACCTATTATCCGTTCACGATCTTTACATAGTAGGGTTGGCCATGAAAATCTAGTGAGTTTGTTGGTATTCGATGCAGAAGAATAAAAATTCCCTGAACTTTTTTCGTTAGGTTATGTTTTATTAAATTAAAGGTTAAAAAATATGCCAGAAATATAAACATTGTTGCGGATACTTTCAGTTTTCAGTAGCAATGACCAAGTTAACGGTATCCATTTTTTAGAAAGCATAAAACTTTACTCTATTTAAAACAGTTATTCGGCTTTTTGTAAATGTTTATTTCATATGTAAGGAACAAACACTAAAATTTCACTTAAACATTGTTTTTATATGAATGGGGGTTTTACATACGACTATTGTCGCATGCCACATTTAGCATCTCATCTTTAATTCTCAATCATTAGTTCGTTCTGCTTAGAAATGGAAATTTCGACCTTTGTGAACAGCCTATTTCTATATCTTCCAACTTCTTTTTTCACTTTTATAAGATTACTAAAAGGGTTGGTAAAAGACAACAACCTTGGTCTAGTGTTTTGATGGGTTTAGCTCTTCTGAAACATTTTTCCGGTCTTAAATTGAATGATTTATCTATATAGCTATCACTAATGCTTACGTAAATGCTCTTTATTTGCTTTTACTAAGTACTTCCAAACGCTTATTAATAAGAAGGTTACTATACGCCTTCTCCAGGTCCATGAAGAGTTACAAAAAAAATTAAAATGCTTAAAATTTGGTGCAAAGTAATAACGTGAATGATCTAACTAAAATTATACTTATTTTGTTGTACGTCAGGTAGTTTTTCACATATTACCTTGGTAAATTTAGAACGAAAAATGCGTAAAAATATCACCCCCCGACAAGCTACAATTCACTCCATTTCCATTATTTCGCTATGAAAATCTGTATCATCAGTCATCACCGTCATTTTCAAATTCAAATTCTGAATCAGATTCACCTAGCGAAATAATGAAAGGAGGTATAGAATCATACGAAAGATTTCCCATATTTTTTCCCAATCTGCCAAAATAAGTTTTCCACAATGTTTACAAAAATTTTGCCACATGCTTTGAGTACATTTAGAAAGCGCCTCAAGCCATAAATTCTCCACTCTATTTTTTAATAAAGGTTGAGAATTTATATGCTTGTTGTAATAGTTCTTACAAAATCCCCACGCCATTTCAATTAGACTATATTGACAATGGTACGGAGGTAATCTAAGAACTTCATGGCCACTTTCTCTTTGTGTCTCGTCTACCAAATATCTTTTTTTTCTACTGTTTCTGAAGAGTTTAATTAACCTACAACTGTTTCTTCGAAAATTTTTTGTCAAATTCAACACTATATGTTTAAAGAGCCATTCCTGCATTTCACATTTTTTACTAGAAAAAGTGGGTGGTTTATCCAACTGAACCGAATGAAGCGGTGCATTGTCTAAAACCGCCACACATTTTTGGTTCAACTTTGCCAAAGCAGGAATGAGCTGATTAACCACCCAATTTTGAAAAATTGTCCCGTCCATCGTTTTATGATAGTCTCTATCGTTATTTTTTGAATTTAAAAAATTGTTACAAGCATCCAAGAACCCCGCTGAACAACTCGAGTAGAGAAGAGTAAACCTTGATTCTTCACTTTTAATTTTGGTAGGATTGCTTTTTAGATCAGTATCGTGTACCCAGCGACGAATCGACGAACCATATTGATAGATCCATGTTTCATCCAAATACACGAAAGTCAAATTTTCACAAGAATTTAAAAACTGTAAATATGTTCTCAAAGAAGTAATTTTGGCTGCAACGACATATTTTTGTTCACATAGAATTTTGCGACCATTTACTTCCCTGTGTTTATAACCCGTTGACTTAAGAATTTTGTATAATGTGGTTCGCCCCTATTTAAATTCAAACTGTTCCCTAGAATATGCCAAAACAGTATCTACAGTGAAATATTCGTTTTTTTCATTAAGTTGCCAAATTTGTCGTTGCAGGTTTTTCCGAAACATATAATTTGTAAATAAATCCGTTGGTTTTCGCTTGTCAGATAGTGATGTTTTTAAATTTTGGTCCTCTGTTGATAAAATTTTCGCCACAGTTGATGTTCCCACCTATGAGAAAAAAAATTAAAAAATATTTTACAGCGTATTTTTACATTAGAGAAAATATGTTCGAGACTCTAATAGTTACTTCTTCGAAACAAAGATCGGGCCTGTCTTTTCGAAACTGCAAAAAACATTTTTTTATTGCAATTTTTTGTTGCAGTAAAGCTATTTTAGGCATTTTCTTTTTAAATAATGTCGCAATGATCTGTGAATCTGTCACAATGACAAATTATTATCTATGCTGACAAAATTAAAACATTTGTAATAATTTTTTTTTTTTTTGAATAAATGTGTAAGATAGGTTTGTACTTAACATGTGTTTCTCTGCATATTTTTTATATTTGGGGTGTAAAAGCATGCAGTTAAGAGTTTCATGCTAATTTGGGGCTCGTAAAAATATATATTTCCCAGAAACTGGGAACTGGCCTATGTCCTTTCACACGCCTACTAATGGCCTGCCATGCAGGGGTGCGGGTGGTCCGGCGACGTTACACTTGCATAGCGAATCTGCTATTTAGGGCGATAACCACTTGACTGGTCCATTAGCGAACCCTGATGAGTGACTTGGCCCAGATGGGTGGCCCTGTGTTTTATCGGGATGTTTACCAAAAAGGTCCGAAGGAATAGTTTTCAGTTTTAAGCCGGACGCGATCGGGTGTAGACTACATTCAGCGAATAAGTGACTATTATTCTTGTTATATTATTATAATAAAGAAAAGTGTTGAGGTGAGTGTATCACTGAGTTATCGGTCTTAGGGGTGATGTGAGTGAGATTTCACTAAGGTGTAATCTGCATTGTTAATTGTTGTAAAAGCTAATTGGATTATCTACTGTAATTTGGTGAGTCCGTTCCTTGTTGTTATTGTTGCATTTGACATGATTATTGATAAGTGGTACCGAGTCAGTTGTCAAATAATGTTAACATATTCCTGAGAGATATTGAAATAGTAAAAGTGATGAAATGAGCCTTGACATGTCGAGCTAATTTGATTAGGCTGTCCGCCTTCCTGTGATACCTTTATGCCTGTTGTTGCGGGCGAAGAGACCTGTTGTTGCGGGTTTATGCCTGTTGTTGCGGGCGAAGAAATACCTGTTGTTGCGGGTATGTGCCTGTTGTTGCGGGTACGGTGCGGACATCAATCCTGATGTCTGTGGTCAAAGGACTAGTATCAAAGTGGACACCTCGTGCGGTTATTCCCTTGGTGTCACTGCACCCTTTGGTACTAGACCTGGGATAGTAGCAGGAGCTGGGTGCGTCGCGCGGCCTTCCCCTTCGCCCCTTGTAGACTCCGTACTATACCCTACGACGGTATGAGAGTGAGCACTTCGTGCGGTTTTCCCTTAGTGCTCATTGTACACTCTGTACCGGACAGTATGGACCATGTGTGATTCCAACCATTAGGACAGAGCTCATTGATTGATGAAATAATTGTTAATTAAAGCAGTCATATTCTTGATAAAGTAGTACCAACCTTGATGACTGATAATAAGTCAAAATAACACGGACTCACTATTTAAAAAGTAATACCCGATTAGCAAATTCGCCACATCGACTTTAGGAATCGATGGCTCACATCCCCAATTGCATTTTACAGGGTGCATAATTGTTGTTATGACCGACTCACTTCGACACCAGCCCTCCTGACCAGGCTATAAATGTAATTAATCAGCTATCAACACTGACGACTTAAAAGTGAGTTTATAATTTATGTTATATTAAAATCTGACGTTTGATCATGTGGATAACTGGTAAAGAAATAATGTAACGCCCTCACACACATCAAAAAAAAAATGTGCTTTTTGTTTAAAATTTTTCATCTCTCCTACACATGTGACAGGAATTTACAAATTTTGAACTTTCTGTCAAAATTTAAAGTACGGATTGCGATGTTCTATATTTTAAAGAATTCAAAACAAGAATCTGGAAAGTAAAGATAATGGTGTATTTTGGGTTGCATTTCAAATTTATTCCAGATCTTTATTTAGACTTGTGGATCACCTGTCAACTGTCAACAGTTCAACGTAGAACATAGGCATTATGTCATCGCACGCAATAAGAGCTGGTACCAAGCAAGTTAGACCAATTTTATCTACAGACCGTCACGAAGCAAGACAAAGGGTCCTTAATTTATATAAAGCATGGTACAGACAACTTCCTTACATTGGTTAGGTTTTTTTCACATAACCTCAATTTCACTAACTTTCGATTTCTAGTCAAACAGTATGATATTCCGAAATCTGTAGACAGCCTGAAACAAAAACTGCGTGAAGAATTCCGCAAGAATGACCACCTGCAAGATATTCGTGTTATCGACATGTTGGTTGTTAAGGTATGTAATCGGAATGTTGATTGATTTCCAACAGTAATGATTTGAGTATTACAGGGACAAATGGAACTGAAAGAGACAGTCAACTTTTGGAAACAAAAAGGTACCTTCATGAGTTACTTCAAAGATACTGTAGAACCAAAACCGAAAGATTTTCTTTCGAAGTTCTTATCAGGCCACAATTAGTAGAAATGATAATGCAAGTGTGTTATCAGTATGTATATAAACAAATTAATAAAGTAACATGAGTAGAAAGGTGATTCCCAGTGATTATCAAATAAATAATTCCTTGAATAACATAACCTCTTCGAGTCTGTAATGAGGTAGTCTCATGTACGTTATTTCTTTACTTTTAATTGAAATTTCGACACATTTAAGCACTGTAGCTTTCCCAGATGTGTTGGAAAAAATTAAGCAATATGAACTTAGGTATTCACCACGGTCACTTTTTCTTTATGATAACGTTTAAGCCTCTGCTTCTCTAATATTTTTTTAAATGATCTTGTACTTCATCAGGAAAATTTTACAGTTAAGTTGAGAAGAGAAGTACTACAGTTTAGAGTTAACATTCATTAACATTGAATTTATTAACTAGCCCTATTTAACTTAATAAATAATGTTTATTACATCTAAGCATCCCGCCAAAATTAAACATGTGAACGAAATTTTAAAACTCGCGAAAAATTCAAAATTTGGTCGAATGCTTTCGATTGTAAGTCATGAACACCAAGGTTGAAGAAGTGCCCCTAAATCAAACACCAAATATGAAAGGCAAAATTATTTAGTTGATCCTTCATTCTACTATAGCTAAGTTGAAGACATTATTTTCTAACCGTAAAATCCTCTCCAGCCTTCTACAATGGAATCAAATGTTACGAATCAATGCAATTTGAATATCACAAAAGACCTGCCGCATATTATAACCAGCTATTCCCAAAATGGGCGTCTTTTCCGCTTTCGCCACGTGATTTTGAGCTTCTACTTCAACTACATTCAAATCTTATATTCCTCGAATTTATAACGATAGCTGGATGATAATTCTGACTATTAGAATTATAAGAAACGGGACAAGCGACATTAATAACGCCATACTCTATTAAGACCTTTTAAACTACCTACAAAAAATCCGCGTGGTGTTAAATAAAATTATGCATTAATTCAAGTTAATGATTAAATCAAAATGAATTCATCAAGCTTACTCATGAACCGGCCCCAATCACGAAGCATATGTGAAATAAAGACTTCATTAAATTTTTTGAATCCTAGATATGATATAAATCAACGAAACAGCATTTGTTTTATGTTATTGTAAATAGAAGTAATACACTAGCGAAGTCACCTATTCCTGTTATGTGTTTTAATTATAATAAGCTTGGACACATGCTTTGATATTAGGATTTTAATCCAGAATATGTCACTTATAAAATATTATGTTAGTGGTGTATTTGATCTATAAAGTGATTACAGCGTAGTTTATATTGGGTAATCCAAAAATGACGGAAAAGCTCGATGGTACCTACCTACGCTGTTAAGAAAGCTGGTCTGAAGCACTCGAAAAAAAAAATGGTTAAAAAATCTCTGCAACAAACTTTTGAAAATAGTGAACTTTAAAGTTGAAGGTTGAAGGATTAACTTCGTAATTCTGATTTGTTTTAATAAACTGCGTGTTTAATAGACTGTTAAATCATTAGATATTCATTAATAATTTAATAATAATTTGCTACAATACGATCCACAGCGTCATTTTTCACTATTCACAGATTCATGTTTAACAGTTTTTTTTTAAATTTTGGACTGTCAATTAAATTTATATTAAAACATATCAGAATTACGAAGTTATTAGTTTGATATTTTCAAAATTTTGGTTCAGTGATTTTGTAATCATTTTTTCGAGTTCTTCAGAATCTTACTTTCTTAACAAAGTACCATCGAGCTTTTTCGTCATTTTTGGACCACTTATGTTACTTTGAGAATACTATATTTTATTTTAATTGTTATGCCCAATTACCATTTACATCCTGTAATTGTGTTGGTATCCCATTGGAAATAAACTCATTATTACTATAAAGACAACAGACAAATATCGAAATATCCCAGCAATAAAATCTCCAAATTCAGCTTGTCGAATTGTAATACGCAACAACAGTTAATTATGTTGTGGTAATTCTAAGACGATTACCAATACCCTTGCGTTGCGAGGGGTAGACATACCGTATACAGTGTGATAACCCAAATATCCCGCCTTAAATTGACATGTGAAAAAAATTGAAAGCCCGCGAAAAATTTGGCCTTGGCTATGATCGTCTGACAAAATGGAACCCTATATAAGTTGTGTTTTTGAAAAATGGCGGGATGCTTTCAGATGCAAATGGTGGACCCCAAGGTTGGAAAAGTACCGCTAAATAACAGACACAGTGGAGGACATAAAATTATTTATTCCTCCACTGACAAAAAAAGAACATAAAAAGCTGCGTGCGAGAGTGACTCGGGACTTCCCCTCAGGCTGCCCAGAGGGGGCCGAATCACAATCGCTTTTCAGCTCCAAAAACAACTTATTGAACTTTGGATGAAATTTAAATGAAATCGAATTAAACGTTCTATATCAATGCAAATATTTGAAAGTCACAAATTTAATAAAGACAAAGCAAAATCTGAATTAAAGTCCAGTTATGCAAATACATGATTCTATCTATCTGCCGCCCAGCACGAAGAATATGCCTACACAAGTAGGCCGTTACTGTCGCAAACTCGCAGTTGGGTCCCGGCTATCATCAAGCCGACAGCTTTATGTCATCTCGACCGCCCCTCAATTCTATTCTAACCTGCATCTTTTGTGCAGATGGCACGATAAATCACGCCAGCTCGACAAGGAACCGCACACTCCGCTTCTGCCACGTATTTCGGTGTTATTTACCTCAATTCCATTTTAAATGTTCAATTTCTATGACTGATATTAACGACAACTGAACAAGTGTTAAAGTTTACAAAAAAGCAATAAACAACATTTAAATTCGCCATACAATCTTGTAAAATTTTAAACAACAAATAATTCTTATGTGAGATTAAAATTGGACATCAGCTCATTTTATGGTGGAAGTATCAATCAGTGGCGGCTGCTGCCGGGAGGGCAAATGGGCAGTGCCCTCCCAAATGACTTTTTTAGGCTGACTTTTTATTTTACTTAGTCGGAAATTTTAAAAAAGAAAGAATTAAATATTAAATTTCTACTCTTTTTTATGATTTTCCAGTCAAAAATCTTACTTTGAATGAATTATAAATGGTTTCGGGCAACAGTTTCAGCTGCTCCTGTACATTTAAACGTTAATCTGCGCGCTATAAATTTCGACTTTTGATTCGTTGAATTGAATCTTCACCGGGCAATATACACAGATGCCCGAGCCAATCACAAAAGAAATGCATTGTTAAATGAGCTAATGGCGTTAATGCAAGAATGCAACAGGCGCGAACTGCTCATCTCACGTACAAAATTCGTGTGCTTATGGGTTATTTCGTTATTTTTTTGTAAAATGAATACTGTCTCCGCGATTAAAAACCGGAAGTTGAGTGGAAATTTTACTTTCGAAGAACGTCTTCAACTGAAGGGATAGGGAGTACCTCGGCCGGACTTAAGTTTGAAACAAACGTCTATAGTGAAAAATAAAACTGTAACAAGACACTTTAATCATAGATTTTATGAATGTGCAGAGTGGTTGTGTGGAGTGCCGAACAAAATGGCTTTTTCTGTTTTGTGTGTTTGGTAATGGATAAAGGCGATTGTGATAAATCTTGGGTGGAAACTGGCGTCAAGGATTTGAAACATTTAGGTGAGAAAATTAAAAAGCATAAGATCGCAGCAAGACATTTATTTTATGCCGTCGAATATGCTACTCTTGGTAGAGTAAATATTCAGAATCAATTGGATTCGGCCTATCGTTTAAATGTGAAAAAACATAATGAGGAAGTAAAGCACAATAGATATATTTAAGCAAGTTAATAGACTGCATACAATTTTGTGGAGCTTTTGAAGTTGCTTTACGCGGGCACGACGAACGCGAAACTTCTTCAAACCCGGGCATATTTCGTGGTTTGGTAAATTTACTCGCGGAAGTGGATAATGTCCTTAAAACACATATTGAAAAATCACAGAATAAAGTCTTTTCAGGATTATCCAAAACAATCCAAAATGAATTACTGGATTCCATTCTAGAAGTATCGTTGCAATTAATAAATGACGAGATTACACAGTGTGATTATATTGCAATCGAAGCTGACGAAGCAACTGATAATTCCACAATTTCTCAGTTGGATTTTATCGTGCGATATGTTCTGAATGGTGTAATACATGAAAGATTTATGGGTTTTTTTACTCCAACCGAACCGAATGCTGAAGCAATAAGTACTTGTATTTTCAATGAATTAGAAAAACTTAAACTAAATGAACGCCCCGAGAAACTGATAGCACAGACATATGACGGAGCGTCAGTCATGAGTGGCCACAATGAAGGTGTTCAAGCTCGCATTAAAACTTTTTATACAAACGCAGAATATATACATTGTTATGCTCACCAATTAAATTTAATTATTAAGAGAGCAGCAAACATTCACAAGTCTGTAAATTTTTTTTTCTCTAATTCGGAAGCGTTTTCAGCATTTTTCTCTCGTTCACCCAAAAGAACTGCAGTTTTAGATGAAGTAGTTCACAAACGACTACCTCATGGACCTGCTACTCGTTGGAACTTTAAATCCAGAACAATTGCGACTATCTTTCAATATAAAAATGATTTAATAAATTGTTTAGAAACAATCATTGAAAGGGAAGATGACAGCAAAACAGTTACAAAATCAAATGGGCTCGTTAATTTCCTGAAAGATTATGAATTTAATTATTGGCCCCATGTTTTTAATAAAATAATGCCCAACTGTGACATACTATACAATCAGTTACAAAAACGAAGTGTAGATTCCGCAGCAGTTGAAAAGTATGTACAAGATTTTAAAAAATCTGTAGAACATATAAGACAATCGCTTAATTATTATCGAGATGAAGAGGAACCATCAGCAAAACGCCCACGAAACACCAATTACTTAAAATTAATTGCACAACGAGTATGTGATGCGATAATTGTAGATATAGAATCACGTTTTTCATCTACAAATTGTTATTTGTCATTGTCACACCTTTTTTTGATCCAAGCCTTTAAGGACTATCAAATGACCTTTCCCGAAGATACATTTCAAAGTGCAGTAAGCAAATTTCACT